GCTCACACCTGCTCCTGATTTGGTCAGGATAGACCAAAGAGCTGCTATTCTCTGCCTATAATCAGTCACAGATCAGTGCCTGATACTATAACAAAAGCCACAAATAAATCACTGTGCCAAAAAGCTGGAAAAAAACAGAGGCATTGCTGGGGTTCTGGTCCCCAAGGGAGCTGAGGTTGTAAAGAAAAACCTACACCTGATTCCAGGTATCAGAGTAACATGGGTATGTCCTTACCAGCCCAATCCTTTTTCTTTGGCACTCAAAAGCTACACTGCATTAAGCTTCAACTTCTCTCAGACCTGTTTGGGGAGCAAATGTGTTTATGATGATGTCAGTGTCCCACGTTTTCCAACCATGGAAAAAGCCTTGGAAACCAAAGGGGAAGAGCTGTGTTTCCCTCCAGAACAGCGTGCATGTCTGCCATACATTGATAAACCGGCCACGACACATGCATTTTGGCAGTATGGGTGGAGACTTCAGGTCAGTTTTATCACCTAGGAAAGGGCTGCACAGTTAAAGTGCTTAGACTTTGTCCCTCCCAGTCTACTTAAAAGTTGAATGGCGATTACTTAAGTTTATTGTAAAAAACTGTATTTATCTCCAAAAGCCTCCCAGCCTCCCTCAGCTGAGTGTGAAAGGACTACAGACTTCACTTTCCTTCCATTTGAGGCATTTTAAGTGCTGCTCTTGGTGCATGTGTTCAGCCATCACTAGAATCCAGATGCTCTCACTTAGTTGCACTGGCGCTTCAGCCTGCTCAAAACAACTGAAAATGCTAGCCTGGAGCACTAAAGATTAAATCACTTGCATAAACCAGATCTGCACTAGGAGAGGGGGAAGTCCTCTTTACAAGAACCTGTAACTTACCAGGCTGTTTACGCAGGAATGTACATAAGATAGGTTAGGCTTGTTTTAAATACCCTCAGAGAGGGTAGGAGTCATGTATTTCCCAATTGCTCTAATTGCGGAGACACAGTAACACTTCCTGCTGTACTTAAGGGAGGGCCCAATTCGAAATGTTGCCAGGCAAATTAAGAGGCCGAGGAGGGCAAGTAGTTTATTGGCCTTTATACTGCCTAAACATACAACTTGGGAATGTAATGATGAAAACTCAGAGCAAGAATTTTTAGGATCTCAGTGGAGCTGTTGCAAAAGTTCCTCTCTTCCACCAAGACACAGGGGTAAACAAATTCCACTGTGCTTCACTCCAGAGACCAAGCTAGGACACCTATATCCTAGTGGTCTTTGTATGTCAGGCTTTCAAGCAGCAGAGAGGAAAGTGAGACATTTCAGTAGGAGGGGAATGCTGAACAGCCCTCCTCTGTCCTGAACCTCACCTATTTATCTTGCAAATACCCTTGACAAATGGAAGGGAGCAGCAAAGCAGCCAAACCTCTCGCTGATCAGCAAGAGGACAGGGAGCCAAGTGCTCTGCACAGCTGTCCTCTGCCACCTGCCTGCAGCCCCCCCTCCCCTGACCTCACCCAGTGCAGGGTAAGCCCACACCATCTAACTTCACACCTTGCAGGGTAAAATATTTGGAAACAAGGAGAAGCAAGCCTCAGCAGCGTATGGCTTTTAATCCCCAAATGTGCAGACAACATGACATTAAAACAGAAAAATTAATAGTTAATGGCTGTTTGTTCCCTTTAACTAATAACATACATTTTTAAGTTTAAAATCACGTTTGCTATGCTATATACGGTTTCTCAGGATCAAATCTTTAATTCCGTACTTGGCACTTCAGACTGTAAGACGTATAAAGGGGCAATACTTGACTAAAATTAGGAAGTACTATGTAATTTCATTTTCTTCAGCAAGGAGGGTAGGAAGGTTGGACAGTTAAAAACACAAACTAAACAAAACTGGTCATAAATTTCATTTAGTTTGCCTTTCTTCAGAGGCTAGACTTTGTAGTCAGAGTTCTAGCTGCCTGGAAAGAGCTTCACATCGCTAAATTCTGAACCAACATCAGTAACAGCAGAGACACTACAGCTACAAAAATGACATTCTGGTGCTAGGGGTCTAGTAATACCAGGCTTTTCTGTTTGCAGATTATCTGGCTATATAGTATGAATTTTACATTTGGCTCCTCTCCTGTAATTTATTTTACTACTTTTTGTTGTAAATAGTCTAAACTCACCCTCACCTACCTTAGCTGAAATACATACACAGGAGATTTCAACTGCAAATATATAATGTTTTTAAATGTTAGCTTCTACAACTGTCTGCAGAGTAGTAACATGTTTTGCAGATACTCCAGGAAACCTTCTCCGTCTGCAACGTTCATTGAAAGCAAACAGGACCAAAAAAAAAGCCAATGTTGGTATTGTGGTACTAGCTCTGAAACTGTAGCAAAGTAAAGCCTCACCTCTGAAATGATAACTGTATTGTATTCTTCAATAGCCACATCTTTCAACAAAACTACTGCCAAAAATCAGACCTGAAAGTAAGTTAACTCTTGTTTGAATGGCTTACCATTTTTCTCTACTGTTACAGATGCTGTTCTCTGACACCTCTTTACACTACTGCACTACTGGTTTCAAACACAAACTTGGTAATTTTTATCTTGGAGCCTACAGCAGCAGTAAAATACAAGAATAAGCCAGGTGCCTGTAAAAGCCAAACATTCATCCTCACATTTTTCATCTCAGAGAATTGCTTCCAACACAAAGGTCATGAGCACTCGTTCACAAGAGCATGAACTCTTAATACTTTACCAGCCTTGGTTTTTTCCTTCCCACCGTGGAATCAGAGAGCTAAATCCTTCCCAATTCCCCACTTAGGAATGAAGAGAGCTCTCACAAAACACAGTTTCTAACAGAATCTGCTAATGGTCTTGCTGTTCAAGAGTACACAGACAGATTTCAAGCATCAGCACACAAAATTGCTTGAATCTTCTTCTTTTCAACCTTGAAAAATGCTGAATAATCTTATGGTTATATGCTTTCACATCTAGACACAAAAATCAACACACAGTCAGGATGTACATGCTGCTTTATCAGTATACAGTAACTGAGATCTGCTTGAACAGAATTTACACATCACTACCTTAAAAACAGGTTAACCAAGATCTTTGGTTTCACTCTGTTAAGTTGCAATTAACTGTCCTCAGCTTGCTTTGCTTTTTGGATAGACTGCAGTTACATACAAATTGCAAAAATACTCTAAATGTGGCCACCACAAAATGTAGTGCCAAGAATTGAGTAGTTATTGAATCTTACCTATTTCTACTTGACTCTAAAGCCTTTGAAAAGGCTCTCCAAAGCAGGTTTTTTTTTTAAGCACCAGCCTGCTCCTCACAGCACCCCAATTTTCCAAATTTTTTCAACAGTAATCAAGCAGCCAACCATTTCCTGCTAAAGAGTAAGTCACCTGTTAGAACAAGCCTTTCATGTGAAGTTCACCACATCAGATATTGGCACTGAGATTAGGAAAAGGAGCCAGTTTGAAGTCCAAGACAGAACAAGCAGCAAGTTAAAGAATGAAAAATTTCAAAGAATGCAACCTCATTTTCAAAACGGGCACAAATTAAGCATACCACAGCTGTGACACATAAGCACCCATGGTGGCATTATATTTAATCTGCCAGAAGACTGCTTATTATGCGTTAATTTGGAGCAGCACAGGAGTGGCTGGGTGCTAACATGACATCACTTCTTATTTATAATAACTCTTAATATCCCAAAAGAAAAGATAAGCTGAGACGCAGAGACGATCACAATGGCTGGTATCTTAATTCTACTCCTATCTCAAATTATCAGTTAGGCATACACATTTCTATCAAGTCAGAACAAGGATCTTCTAGAACACAGGAGATAGAGGAAACGTATCAGGATGCTGGAATTTGGGTAGTGGTCCACCCAGAAGCAGTGGTTTTCCTACCCTGGGCAAGTTAACAATAAAAGGAGGTCAAAAAATGAGGAGCAGAAAGGAGAGGGACTGAGAACCCTGAGGCAGACAACAGAAATTACAGCCCTTGATAGTTTTGTTTTTATCTTCAGTAACAGAATACCTGAGAGGGGAGTCTAGCAGAGATTTCCCATTTCTGAGATTCTGAAAATAGAGTAAAAAGAATCCAAATTTGGGTAAGATAGGTTTCAGGGAAGTGAGCAGAAAACACTCCGATACTGTGTCAATGTGCCCAATTCTGAACCTGTAATCTCATGACTAAGAACTACAGCTCATCACATGGCTTCTCTGAAATCATAAGCATCAGCATGAGCTAATTAATGCATGTATCTACCAGCTGAAGTTTCAATTACATTTCAACTAAAACTCTTCTGTTAATTTGAAATGGCATAACAATCTATTACACAACAGACTTCCACTTAACCAGAAGCTGATAGTAAGTTAGAGAAGACAACAGTTTATAATCAAAGGATTACTTTGAAACGACTTTCAAGTCCCCAAAGCAGATAACCCAAGTCATTTGGTAAGCAACACCTCTACCCCACAGCACACAGATCTGGACTCGCCATGTAGTAACTTGTCAGTAATCCACACTGAGACTCAGAATAGCACAGCCAGCAGCAGCCAGCACTGATACAGCAGTCTGGAAACAGGTGAATGCATTCAACAACAAACTCCTCGACCCTGAACACAAAGATTACACACCTTTAGCTCTTTCAATACCTACATAGTTCCAGCTTGTGGTGCAAGTGCCTGCTCTATCTTACTAACACATTTCCTTTGATGTGTCATTTAAATCTGAAGGAAGACAAGCACAGCTGTTTGAGTCAGCTGCAGCAAGTTAAATCAACAGTTTCTTGTCAGTTCTGTAACAAACATGCTTCCACAACAGGAAACAATATAGCCAATCTAAGGAAAATTTCTTCACCTCTGAAGAATTACCAGAGATTTTCATCCATCTCCTTCTCCTGATCTAAAATTCTGACCCACCCACTATTGCTAGTAAATAAAGTTTTCATTTAAACACTCAGATTTAAGTTTATTCATACACAGCAAAAGTTTCACCTGCATATTAAAAACAAACAGATTAGAAGTAAATGTTTTATTCTTCCAACTAAATTCCAGTACTACAAGGGCAGTAAAACAATGATACACTGAAAAATTGCAGCAATAAACATTTGTTAAAGACTGATAGAATAAATAAAAACTACAAAAATGAGAAATCATATAAACCCATTCTTAACCCCCAAAAAAGTCATGGAATACAGAAATGCCCTCCTTCACTATTTCACAGGCAGTACTGTGGGCTATTTGCTTAAAATTGTCCTGGGATTACATTCTAACTTAACTGTGATTACAGCTTTGTTGTAGTGCACAGTTATGAAAACCACACTAACTTCAGTCAGAAGTGTCATTCTACATTTTTATTTACACAACCAGTGAAGGGCAACTTCTAGAACACCAGCTTTAATCCTTTACTTTTTCAAACTTATTAACATAAGAAGCCAAATTGTAATGATACAGCAAATGAGGCCACTGGTATTGTTACAGGTAGCAAAGGTCCACATCCAGGTGGTACTGACATCAGGGAGCACTCCAAAACCAGTTGCTGCATAAGAGTGGTTGCCACTGACAAAAGCTTGAAATAACCTGTGTTCACAGGGGGAAAAAATATGGCATTGCTGCAAGTCTTTACTGGGACAGCTTGCAACAATAAAACAGGGTGTATAGGGCAGCCCACATATGCAGAGAGTGTGATTCATGAAACGTCTGTAAAGAGAAAAAAAACCACAAGAGTTAATGATGGAGTTAAATGCCAGCTCTATCACAAACCTGTTACGGCAATATCAAAACCTGCTTCAAAAATAAAGGAACAGCATGTTACGGGAGACAGTTTTAGATGTTTTAAACAAAAGCTGCCTTTTATCTCACATCTTCCTTTCAACCTCGGTCTTCCATATTGCCAATTTAAAGTATTTTAACCTGGGGCCTAGCTGAAGCTTAACAACAAACAATGGCCCCTTAAATTATTGAACGTTCAGTAATTTAATGCTGCTATAGGAACCAGAAGAAATAGATACTCACAACTGGCAGGCTGTTCTCCATATCGTCGCATGATTTGATCATGCGTGAACTTCACAAATGCGTCGTATTGTTCTGCAAGCATGAAGCATTAGAAGTGTGAGTATATTAAGTTTAACTCAAACTGGAAAATATTCAAGGCTACTTTTTTATACATATAAATCATATAAATTAAACACACATCCACTAACAGTAGTTTTAAGTGACTTTAATACAGTTCATAGCTGCCATTTCCTTTTCATCCCCAAGAACAGCAATGCAGCACATGTCCCCTTAATTAAGACTTTCCCTTGCAAACTTCTGTAATGGGAAAGACCGCAATATGCTCAAAGAGAATTATGCTGCACATACACAAAGACCTCAATATACCTAACACTTGCCTAAGTGTCCGACTCTGTATTTTGAAGTAATCACAGATCCATAATGGGGGCAGAGTAGTTAAGCAAACATGGCATTAAGGTCAGTGCTAGGGTTGGAAACATAACTTTTCTCTGCTCCTCTCACTACCAGATGTAAGAAAATTAATTTAATGAAATGGAAACACAGAAGTACAGGAAAGGGACTTGCTATGGAGTTAGAAGTTCTTTTTGGTGACCACCAGAAAATCAAAAGCAAATGACAAACTAAAAGGATGAAATGCTAAGTGACTAACACTTGACTAATTCCAATCACAAAAGTAGCCACAAATAGGAGGCACGTAGTTGACGGTGGACTTCATGAGAACAGCTACTGTGTAATCTAAAATGAAATTTAGATATCGAACGTATTAATTGGCTTTGAAATAAGCATTGTTATTTCCCAGAAAGATTATTCTTTCTATACACACATACATACAAATACATTCGCAATATTTTATTCAGTTTTAATATTGCACTCATCAGCAGGATATCACCTTTCAGAATTAGGAAATTGAACAAGGAGAGTAATATCTACCAGATGCCGCTCCTCTCCATTCCCCTTCCTCCCTTGTGGAAAAATACATGTGCAGCAATGTGGGGTGTTCTGAGAAAAGGGCAAAGGTCAAAGAAGGCAATCTTCAACCAAAAATGCAGTTAGATTTGTAGTGGTTCCTAGTCCCACAGGTTTGCCCCATTAAAGTCCCCATCCTCTTGCAGGGATGAGCTTCACCTTTGAAGTAAACAGGGTATCAGTAATCAGCAAGTAGTGCAGCAGCAGCCCAAAGTACGGACCTGACCCAATGATCTAAGGACATTCATCCCTGACTGAAGGGGCCCGGGGTCACAGCAGCCAGTTCCCCTCTGCCCACAAGCAGGACCTCTGTTTCACTGCAGTTCTGGCTGATGGCTTTTCAGCAGCCATGCGAGGATCTTAGCCAAACAACAAAATAACACAAAGAGCAGATTGAAGGATCTGTTGCCCAGAAACCATTTCCAAAAATAACAGCAACTAGAACTTTTCCTAAAAGTACGTATTAAAGGCCAGAAACCAACTTGCAAGCTTTCTTCTTTAAAGGTTTAAGTCAATACACACAGCTGCTTTGTAGCATCATCTTTGTTAAAATTATGGCTTTGGAAATTTAGAGAATCCACGGTTACTAAAAATCCCCTTTCTTGTGGCATTCAGATTGGGAAAGTTAAGCAAACCAAAGGTAAGAGCAACCTACAGTGAACTGTTTGAAAATTTAAGTGAACACTTGTAAAGATACTTACACCATGGCATTCCATATCATACGTGTTCTAAGTATCTATTTTAAGTCAAAAGGTGGCTAAATGCCACGAATACCAATATGATTACTATACTCTACAACTTGACCTTTAGTATAAAAAGCTGTTTTTCACAAACAGATTCTAGAAAACCTTTCAAGCTAAAGTTTCCCTTAGCCCCTTACACTCCTCCCTCTGGTTTTAAAATCTGCAAAGAATCTTGCAAACCCAAGTTTATGCGAACACAGCAGTTTCAGGTAACAGAGGCAGGAGGGGAAATCAGGGTACTACAGTGATCCGAGTTTTCCATTTATCAAGCACTCACTCTGCATGAAAGTCAACTCTGCTCACAAAGAACATGGGAGAGGAAAAAAAAAGGCTAACTACCTATAAGAAAACCGTGATTCAAAAAGGAATGAGAAAAATATCTCAGATCCAAACAGTCAGTTAAGTCACTTGAAAGAAGCTATTCAATTGAGATTTATTAGAGAATTTCCAGTTACATTTCCATTGACTTCACTAGTTTTTAAGAATGAGTGTCACCTTACTGTACAAAGTTTAGAGAAAGATATAATCATTCTGTCAGCAGAAAAACATAACTGGCCTTCTAAGGAATTTCTAAATTCTTTTGGCAGTCTCTCTTTCTAAATTCCCATATAATGCTGAAAATTTATTAGCTTGATATGTGGGATGCAGTAACGTGATCTTTCTAATAGCTCTTTTGGTGACCACCATTCTAAGAACAAGCAAACCTAACTCATCTCACTGTAAACCACAACCCTCCAAACAGAAACCATCCCCCTCCCTTCCCAAAAACAAAAATGTTCCCTTTGGGACTGACAGATGGAACACATGTAAGGAACGTGCCAGAGGGGTTCCTGCCGTAAAGAACTAAGTTTGTACTCAGAAAGTGTCTGGAACAAATGTAAATGTATCTGATCTTCAAATGGTTATTATGATCACTGCTAACCAAAATGCATTTAAAAAAATGCAAGAAATGACCCAATTCCTAACATACATAAATTAGAAGAAAAAAGCTCTACAGAGCTGAAGCAGGTTAAGAGGAAAAAGCAAAAATGGAACATTAGGCCCAAAGCAACAGAAGTATTTAAGGCTCTAGTTATAGTTGTAAATAGATGTAGATTTAAGAGGGACTTAGAACTATAGTCATTTCTTACACAGCAACGGCAGATCAGCAAGCACAGAACATGAACAGAGGCTCACGTGCAGAGACAATACTGTCACAGGCAACCCACAAGCCTGACACAAGTCTGGTGACTTTCGGCACAGGCATGCCTGTAGAAGATTTTATTCCCACACCTGAAGAGATTTGCAAATATTAATTCTGATGTGTTTTCAGGTGGGAAGCAGAACAGCCACGGGTATTTAAAAGCAGGTTTGCTGCCGAAGAGCACACTCAAATGTTCATTATTATCACACTAAATATTAAATTAGACACCGAACCGTACTGTGAAGGCACCTACCTCTGAATGCAACAGAATTTAGGTGCTCAAATGCTAGCAAGATGCTTAGAGAACTTCAACAACGAAAGAAAGGTCATATTTACAATGCTGACATCAACATGATCCTTATGAAAAGGTAAGTTGGCATCAGGCGCCAAAAACAGCAGCCGAATTATGTGAAATACAACAATTAAACACAGAGCATCAGAAATGCAGCTGAACTACTGACACTCAGGCAGATACCAAATACCACTGGCAGCAGTGTAATGGTAAGTTCTGGGAAGAGAAAGGGAAATCTTAGGTACTGTCTTCTTGCCAAATTCCAGAAAAAGGAAGTCAGTTCCCAAGCAGGGAAAAAAAAGTCCTTCACAAAGAGCTTTTAAGCCAGTAGAATAGAAAGTCTTTCTGGCAAAAAAATGAGGAGGAAATGATCAATTCAAACATGATAGCAAGAGAAAGTTCTATCTGAAATAAAACCACTGTTTCCATTGGTTAGTAATACCCAGGAGTCATGGTTTCTATCCAAGGCAGCACAGAAGAAACAAAAAACTATCAAAGAGACTACACATCATTTTTTCTGTCCTGTATGCAATCTCATTCCTTAATCAGATTAGGTCAGAAAAAATGGCATAACACAAAAATGAGGAAAAGTTTTAAGCTTTCAAACTCATCCTAATACATTATTTTGGACTATAATATACCTGCAAGTTTTGTGGTCAAAATTTCTTCATACTCTTCACGGATTTTCTCTTCACGTTCTTTCAGCAAACGTTCACAGATCATTCCAACTTGTCTGAGAGTAAACAGGGGCTGTTCTTTTTTCAATGGTGATGATGCTGCAGATGAAGTACCTAAGATTAAATATTTGGGCATACCAATTTACACTTACAAGTAGTTCAGAACCCATTTTTATAACCAGTTTTCTTCACATCTTTTACATTAAAGGAACTTTACAGAACATTTGGAGAAGTCTTTCTCTGTCATTTGAATGGTTCTAATTACTATTAAAGTAAAATTGGACACTAAAAAGTAAGACATCTACAATGGACAATACACATGGGTATCAAAACACTAACTGTGTTACACAAACACTGTGAATACCATTTACATGGCAGTTGCCATTTACAAATTTAAGCTTCTATTTTATGTAAAAATTACAGTACAGTGTATTTTTGCAAAGATAGCTGCTTTGCAAAAGCTTATTACAATATCAGTGGCAGGTTATGCAGGATGGTCTCTTGAAAACAATGCAAGCTTTGTGTCTTACTGATTCTTAAAATGAGAAGCTACAATCTTCCAGATCAATGCTAGTATTGCCAAAAAAAGCAACAATAACTGGTGAGAAGGTGCCATAAATCACCAGGTAACTAGGGAAAATTATTTACGCAAACAGAGTCTAAGAACACATAGCAGAATTACACAGAATTTTCTGGGTACCTGGCAAAGCTGGTCCAGTAAGGAGAAATGCATGTGGCTGTGCATCAGTAGAACAACAAGGATCTGTCTGCTGGAAGCTATTTTCTAAGTGTCTCCTCTTCTGCATGCGTTTGTACTCCTGTTTTATGTTGTACAGAATTTGTTCTAAAAGAAAAACAGTAAGAAAATTAAGCCTAAAATAATTACATTTCAGTATTTCACTTAACTTTATTTCCACTCAAACACCAAACACTGTAGATAATTAACAGATGATAAGAGCTAGACTCTTAAAACATGGCTTGCAAAACCCACCATGTTTTACCTAAGACATACAATGACACTAACTAAAAGACAGGTTAACTCCAGACTTTTCACCAGGAGAACACTAGCAAAAATGCTGTTAGTTAAGGTCAGATATTGGTGCCAGGGTATTGGTGTCAGAGTACTGCTAACAAAAATAAACAGTGTAAGGTTAAAATTTAGGAACTATCAACTATACAATACACATGTATAAAAATTAGGCTACAGAACTACTGGTATTCATCATCTTCCCTTCATACATTTAATTTGCAATCATCTTTCTCCCCCAGACAGTACTTAACAAAAGACAAACAAAAGACTCCAGAATAAAACACATACATGAAATACTATTCCTCTCTGTATAGTTACTGGCATATGGGCAGCAAAGTGGAGAGCAAAACCCAGTTTAGACAGAATATGCAAGGCAACTACTGCTTAAAATCTCAAAGAATTAGAAACCAACAGACAAAATACAAAAGCCTCTCACAACATATTGGACAGCCTCAGATCCAGCCAAATAAACACAATGGATGGATCAATAGTCTTTTTTACAGGAGTACGGCAATATGTAGTTCAGAATTTGATTGCACTGAATAAAATACAGCAAGTGCTTTTAATAATCTCATCTCCACTGTAGAATTACAAGGAAAAAAGTAATCCTTGCAATAAAACTATCAATCCTCTCTGCCTTCTCTCTGAAATTCCATGTACCAAAAGGCTCCCAGGTACATCAATGCCCTAACTGCCTATCCTCTGACAATGTAAAATATTAAAGGAAAAAAAAAAAGCCATTTTCTACTTTTTACAGCAGACTTTCACAGAAAGAGACTTACAAAGACTCCCTCTTTGTAAGAATTCTTACTTTCAAATGCTCAAATGCATTTAAAAAAATCTCCCTACAGCATCAGCTTCCACTGAGACTTCCAGACTTTTGGCAAAGACAGCTTTCTAAAACTTAGATAGATACAAATCAATGTGATCACGTCAGAGTGGCAAAGGACTCCACTCACTCAGTACCTTCCTATTTCTGTTCGGCCTTTTTGCCGATATAATACCATGGAAACTTCTCAACTAATTTTCATGTTTGTAAACAGTACCTCAATAGGTACTTATTTGAACACTTTCTAGCAAGCAACCATGTGAAGCAGGTAACTTCAGCTACAAGCTTATTCAGTCAGTGGCTGAAGCCTATGCTAGACCAAGCAGAAGCAAACATTTGCCAATTCCTAGTTCAGAGGTTTAACTATTGCGGTGGTTCTTCAATTCCCCAAGTCAGTTTGGGGGCTTCCAACTCTCAAAGAGAGAGGAAACTGTTTCCAGTCAACAGGAATACCAGCATTTTCAGCAAAGGAGCTTCTTGTTTGGATTTTGTCCATTGATGAAGGCCTTGCAGTTTATACCTTTTCAGCCCTGTGCCTACAGTGCTTGTACAATTTTCAGCTCCCTAAACGGGGATCAATAACTTGGTTCAAAGAAGAAACAAATGCAGAAGACGTAATAAAGAAGCACAGTAGGGAAATGAAGAGAAGGAAACTACGAGAAAGTGGGAAAAAAAGTACTCAAGGGTGGCTGGAGGATTCATACTTTTTTGTAGGACAAGATACACACTACACTCCAGCATGGTACAGAAATACATAAATCAGGTTAAACCAAGGTGCAGTCAGGCTTCCAAAATTAAATAGAATCCCATGTAGAATTTGTCACGTGCATACATACTGCATCAGTCGGAGAATGGCCCTGCAACATTTTTACTCAACAGCACTATGGTGGTAAAACAATACTTTTCCTCAGAATCAAGTGCTGTTCTAGCTAAAGCGATACTGCAAAATTTTGAGTGGGAACCAAATTAGCTCATAAGATAACATCTGTCCTAAACCATGTCTACACTATGAGAAACGTGACTGCAAACATTCACACTGTATTTACATTAACTGAAGAATGTAACACATCACGTGCATCCTTCACTACGACTACTTTGTCTTGGGCATACTTTCCAAATTCCGTATGAGCTGCAAAAACATCAGCCAAATTTCGGGTGTAAAAACTTCGATAAAAATCTTCTCTACAGCTCTCCTTTATATTATCTTTTTGCAGAAACATTCTCAAACCACATTAACCACCAAAATCATTAAGAAAAAAAAAACTAAACAGACTCTGGTCAATGGATAAAACTCCCAAGAGTTAAAACAATAATCATCACCCAGGTTTCCTCCAGCCCTATCAACCTCTGCAAATTAAATGGAATAATTCAGAGAAAATGTTAGAATACCAGCCAGAATAGAAGGAGCAAAAGCAACATGGGAGGGACAGGGATGACGGGGAGGGGAGGTGGCGAAATCAGGTACTAACTTTGGGAAAACAGTAACAACTGGGATAGAAAATTAAGATCTGTGCACCAAGGATACAGGATTCTATTCCAAATTATATTGATTTGTGGACACAGAAGTCTCAGTGATATTACAGTAATTTCATCTACTTCTAATTTGGCAACATTTTTTAACTTCAAAACTGCCATCTTCAAATCTTGCTCTGAAAATCAAAAATCTCAAGAAACGCCACTGACAGATACATTAGGAGATCCCCATCCTAACAAAACCACTTTGACAGTTTGCATTACTGTAACTTCAGATAAAGGTATAAAACTAAGCAAAATGGGATGGAGGAGGGGACTATTTAAACATGACAATACACTGTCTACATTGCAAACAGCCACCAGGAGAAAAAAGCCTGAAATCTGAAGTCCTGACTGAACACTCGTTGAGCATGTACATAACCTGGTTTGGTAAATAGTATTCCTCTATTTAGTCTAACTTAGGAGATTTAAGGCACTGTTGCTTAGCACAGAGAACTGGACTACAAGCTCTACTCAGTACCATGCTGCTAGTAGGCAAACCGCCTGTGAGAATGACTCATCTCATACTTCCCGATCTCCACCATTTGTAAAATGGAGATCAGTAGTCAAGAAACACAAATTTAACATAGCATTGAACTGTTCAATGACTTCTCACATGAATGATCAGACTAGTAATTAAGCAGGCACATTTTTGCAGCAGTAGAGACTGAGTAGACATTTTTATTAAAATACAGCGGCATAAAATCTCTGCCTTTAAACAAAACTATTTCACTGTAAGCTTGCAAATATTTATGACTGATTTTAAATGGAAATCTGAATGCCAAATTGAATTATTTTGTCTTTTTTTTTTAAACAATCTAGGAGAGTAAGAAAAGTTGTTTAAATGCACCAAGTTACTTCTGGCATTTATAGTTTTGCTTAATAAATCCACAAAAATATGTCTGATGAACAAACATAGTCTGTTCAAAACAGTTTTTATAGCATCTCAGCACTTGAAAGAAGCCATGAAATATTAAGGCAGTGCAAACCAGACAACTTTTGAACAACACCTATATTGCAGACATCTAACTGTAAAGCCCTTTAAAACTCTGGCCCAGTTAAACAAAGCTTAGAGATCGCAGATCTCGTTCTCCAACCTGATTTTGATTCCAGAAAACCTTCCTGCTGTTTCAAGTTCAGTTTCTTAATTTCCTTTACTTCCAATTAGCTCTGACTATTCTCTCTGCAGTTGACAGCTGAATTAAAATATGCATTTAACTGGTGTCAAACACAGGACATTTTTTTTTTAATGTGTTCCTCAATGTGGAGGCCCAAATTGTCTTTTTCAACAACAACATGCATTTTAATTAACAAATTATTTTATACATAAAAATTTAGAATCTGAAAGTGCACTCATTAAAGACAACCTAATCTAACTGAGCTTGTCTAAGACTATAAAACTGAAGTGAGAACTTGAATCATATATATTAGAACTCATTAGATATTTTAAATAAAGACTTGCATCCATCTTATAGGTGCTGAAGTTCAAATCAGACATTGTACGTCGGGCAGTAATTTCATTTATGAGATGACAAAAGGAATATATTTAATATGATCAAACAAACATCACTGTGGCCTATCCTCAGTTTCTTTTTAATTTCACTTTATCCCCTGTGCTTAGTGTTGCCTACTGGTTAGAGACACCTCTGAAGGCACAGAGCTAGCTAACAGGAAACACCAGGCAGAAGTGCTGAAAGTGAAAATTAGGCCTGCTGAATCTAGGGTAGTACTAAGAAAAAGCCACACTTGCTAACACACTGAAATGAATTAGTACTTCATAAATGACATTTCAAATTCAAGATGACTATGAATCCCGGCCAGATACGCAAGACTATTTTATGCCCCCTTCTCTTCCTACAGGTTCAAGGCTAAGATAAAGAATGACAAACAAAGATTGCTACTGTCTCACCATGACCACTAAAAGCGTAGGGGATTCAGTTAAATACACCTGAATATAATGAAATGCATAGACACTTGTTTTTATCTAGAGCTCTGTGTACTAAGAGCATGAAGTTGAATACAAATGTTCATGAAATATTGCATTAAGATGAAGGACAGCATTCACGCCAGTCTTCTTTCGGAATTTGAGATATGATTCGGGGAACCAAAATTTCACATTTCAGCTGCTTTCACACCCAATGAAGAGTGGATGAAACATGAAGGGGGCAATTGAGAATTCAAGTTTGACATCTGAAATATGATCTGTCACACTAATAGATTACAAAGCCAAATATTCATTTCCAAGGAGTGATGTCGTCTTACTTCCTTTAATTCATGATAAAAAGGCAAGTTATTCTTTTTCAAAGTTCTGTCATCTAATTACTTCTTCCTGACCTGTAATTACCTAGAAATTATGTACAAGGGAAACAGCAGTTCAACTTGAAAAGGTAACATGGCAAACAATTATTTTCTCCATTTGAATAACGGCTTATCAACTATGAAGGTGCTGATTGTTTCCCCTGAAGGATTTTTTTCTTCTTTTTTTGGGGGGCTTGATTTTTAAACTAGCAATGTCTCAGCTCAGCTCCTGGCTTCTCTCATTTAGCTGAAGGAAACTTTGGCAAAACACGTAGGAAGGTGACTCAATAGGCTGAAATCAGAGTAGCAGTTTTCCTGGCCCGAAATGGAACCTAAAGCTCAGGTTTCAGTTTGCAGTGTCACCATTCAACATATGCATTCAAGCCTGAACCATGTCTGAGATTTCTTCTAAGTGAATCAATCAAATGCTATTCTGATGTCAACAGCATACATCTTCAGGGATTTCAGCTCCTGTTAAAGCAAAACTGCTTCATTGGCCTAGTTCAAATTTGTAACATTTCCATTAGGCCATCACCCTTATTCAACGTTTAGTTGATGCTACCACATTCCTAGTTTTGGTCTCCCCACTAGACTACTGACACA